ACTCTGTAGAAAGAGAGTCAGAGTATAACGAACAAGGAAGACTCTCCTCTCCTCCACAGCTGAGCTCACTCGGCAACTGCAGCTTGAACACTAGGTCAGAGGCGTGCCAGGAGAGAAAGGCTGTGTGAGTTACAGCCTCTACCGTGGAAGAACACATAGTGGCAGAGGAAAGATGAACACGAGTGATTTTTCTGATTGCACACATGGCTTTCTTTGTGATCACAGACGCCAAAAATCTGTGGATGCTCCAATCCTTCATATAAAATGACACAGAATTTCCATATAACCCGCACATCTCCTCTAGAAGGCCTTAAGTCATCTCTAGATTGCTTGTAATACCCAGAACAGTGTAAATGCTATGTAAATACTTAATATTATTAGGCAATAGTGTCGAGAGAAATGTGCCCTTCAGCACGGATGTCATTTTTGTTTGAATATTTTCAATCTGTGGTTGGTTGAACTCGAGGATGTGAGCCTGAAGATACAGAGGAGCAACTATAATTCAATAATAGATGTACCTCAGAAAGAGAAGAATAGGTCAAGCGTATCATGAGGAACTGTCTAGACGCCTACCATGTGGCAGTATAGCAAAAGGATGCTAATATTTATTAACAGTCTTTCTAAATGCCAGGCATGATGTACAGGCATTATCTTGGTCAATGCTCACAACCACTCCATAAAGTGAGCATTATTATGCCTCCTTTTTATAAATGACCAAAATGAGATCAAAGTGTCCCTAATAAATAACATATAAAAGTGAGGCAGACATTTCATTTCTGTCTCTGCCCTCCCCATGCCCCATTATCTTCACTCTCTTTCTCTGGTAATAGAAAATTGAGCCTGGGCTTGTTGCCTAGACATACAGCCCTTTCCCAGTTTGGCTTCAGCTTTTGGGGCCACATGCCTAGGGCTTGGTAATGGATTGCCATGGATGTGATTGGGGCAGCTTCCATACACACGCATGCGCACGCGCGCACACACACATACACACACATCAGTTTTTTGAAACAGGGTTTCTCTGTGTATCCTTGGCTGTCCTGGAACTCACTCAGTAGACCAGGCTAGCCTGGAACCAGCACTCCCATCCCCTCTGAGAAAGGGTGTAATGTGCCCTCTGTCCTCAGACTTGTCATACTGTGTGGCCAAGGATAATTTTGAACTCTTGATCCTCCTGCCTCCCCTCTCCTGGTTGTGGGATCATGGGAAGGTAGTGCCACACCCTGCTGTTTTTACCACTCTTTGGTGACAGCAATGCACTATTTGGTTACATCACTGAAACAGTGACTTTTGGTGTGTCGGGCATAAGAGTCAACCAATAAAGAGGACACAGCCAAGTAACGGAAGACTCCCTAGGGGATGAGGGTAGGAGATGTGGGCCTGGAAAGCCAGTTCAGAATTTTTGTTTTGTTTTGTTTTGTTTTGTTTTTTTTGAGACAGGATTTCTCTGTGTAACAACCCGCGCTGTCCTGGAACTCACTCTGTAGACCAGGACGGCCTCAAACTCCCAGAGCTCCACCTGTCTCTGCCTCTGAGTGCTGGGATTAAAGACGTGCACCCCCGCCACCGCCCTGCTGCCAGTTCAGATTTTAACGGTGCAGAGGGAGGTGAGCAGAGGCTGTGCCTTTACCTTAACTGGGTCTGGTTTAGCAACTGGGCTCTCTCTTCTCTTCAAGTCCTAGCCATTCTTATTTATGTATGTATGTGTTTATTTATGTGTGTGTTTATTTACGCATACATTTGTTTATGTGCGCAGGTGCGTCTGCTGGTGCCATCATTCAAAGGCGAGAATAGGGCATTTCGCGCCCTGCGCTCTTCTTCACTCTCCTCCTCGTCCTTAGAGTCGAGGTCTCTCCCTGAACTGATGTTGGCCCAGGAGATGCAGATAGAAAAACTTGCTGGTCATTTCCGGACTCACGTACAGAGCTGGCTACTTATTGTGCCAGCAGGACTGACCAGAGTCAGGCTTTAGAGGAAAGATGGCTGTCAGCACTTCAAACAGAGAAAACAGACCACCTAAGCACCTCCCAATTGCATTTGCCTGGCCTGGCCATGTTTCTCTTGTTTTAAATATTTTAGTTGTGTACAAAATAATGGGTTTCATTATAACATTTTCATAATGCTTATCTTTGTACCTTGCTCAGATCTGTTTTCCACTACCCTCTCGGGTCCCTTCTGTGTCCCTCACTGGTCTTCCTCCTCAGCTCTAAACGGTCTTCCTTCTGTCTTCCTCTCTCTCTCTCTCTCTCTCTCTCTCTCTCTCTCTCTCTCTCTCACACACACACATACACACAACACACACACCCTTACTTACACACACACACACCCTTACTTACACACACACCCTCACACATTTTCATACTCACCCACCCATATGCATGTTCTCACACTCACTCACAAGTGTTCCTTTTCCCTGAAAGCATGTTCTTATCCGTGTCCTCCCTGCGGTGCTAAATGGCATCATGGTACTCAGTTACCAAAACCGAAGGACCCAGGGTACAGCCTCCAGTATCTCCTTCCCTTACACCGTGTTCCGGTAACTCCTGTCCGCTCTCTCCTCAGCCTAGCTCTGAATACAGTCTCTTCTCCCCATCTCACCACCAACCTATTCCAAGCCACCCTAGCCTTCATCTGCTTACTCCTCGGAGTGGCTGGGGTCTCTGCCAGCTTCATCATCACTGGAGAGCTGGCTAAAAATGCAAAAGCTCAGGCTTGGTCCAGCCTTCCAGGTAGGCAAGTCAGAATTTGGCTTTTAACAAGATAACCAATGACCTGTGTGCACACTGATGTCCTAGAACAGGGCCTGGAGGGGTAGCTCAGTAGGTGCTTGCCTAACCCACATGAAGCCCTAGGTTAGACCGCACCCCACTCCCCAGGGGAAAAAACATGTTTGGTAGCACGGAAAAACCAGGTGTTGTAGTATGCTACAAACTCAGAACTGGGGAGGTAGAGTTGGGAGATCAGAAGTTCAAGGTCACATAGTGAGTTTGAGGCCAGTCTGAGATACACAGAGTTCTAGAATATAGTAATGCCTCCCCCCCACGCTGCTCAATAAACCAGTATCCCTCTCCGGTGTTAGTTTGTTCCATTATAGTGGTCTGATCTAAGAATTCCACAACCCTGAAAATGTGTGATTTTTTCATGTTAAACTTTATTCTTGCCCACCATACAGAACTATAGTTCTGCTTGTTTAGAGATTTCTTTTTCCCATAAGACAAAGAGACCATTTGTTCTCTCCATGAGTTGGTAAAGGAGAATATTCTGGGCTACCTCCCTGGATATGAGAGATCATTTTCAGGGTCCTGCACTGGGGAAAGAACCCCTGCTCCAAATCCTGCTTTCAAGCAGACCCAGACCCTGTGCGCCCTCACCATGCCCTGCCCCAGGCAGTCATGAAAACACCTGGCCAGGCCACAGCTGTATTCTGGAAAAGTCTCCCAGTCCCCATCTTGAGTCTGGTCAGCAATAAAAGCCATGAGGTCTTGCTGCTGGCCTTATTAATCCCTTTTGTATCAAACTCAAACATATAGCTCTGTTCAATCTAGTTTTGTTAAGCTTTCTGATTTTACTATGAAAGTCGTGTCTGTATGTTTGTGGTAGAGCAGAGGTATGTAAAAGCAAAGGAGGCCCACTGGCCAACTTACCTTGTTTCTGGACATCAATAAAACCTGAAGTAGGGCAAAGTGTAGTTCAGCAGCAGGGGGCTTGTCTAACATGCTAAAGGTCTTGGGTTGAGTTTCCAGCAGAGCGAAACCAAAGAAGGGCTATAAGAGTCTATCCCAACCTCCTTCCCTCTGCACATTTGGGACAAACTCCCAAGCCCAGAGTCCCATGGCCCCAACTCCTTAGATCAGAGCCTCCAGCCTGCACCATCAGCAGCCTGTCAGGAGAAGTAGGCCTCTGTCTTCACAACCCTTCTTTGGTCCTTCAATCTGGCTCAAATGTCTCCTCCCCTGCCCCCTTCCCAAGAGCTCTCAAGTCACTGGGTCACCTGGTGTCTCTTCTGGTTTATTCCACCTGGAAGGATCTCGTTTCTTGTTCTATTGTGTTCTCCTTCTTTGAATGCAGACTCCTGGTAGTGAAATAAATAACCAATGAGTCTCTTTTATCAAAAACTGTGAAACTTGTGTTTAGGACAAGGGATTAAATCCTTTTATGTTTGAATCCTCCACACCCAGGAAAACCTTTGTTTACACAAAAGTCACAATTCTAGTCTAGGAATTTGATAGCCTGGAGCAGGGACCCTTGACCCCTTCCTGCTTCATTTCTAAGGTGCCAATTCTTTCCAGACTAGCCAATCATACAAGACTGTGAGGTTGACTCCTAGCCAATAGAGAAAAAGGTAAAACTGTTATGTGAATTACAATAAAAACCAAATCCCTCCCTGGCTCAGAAGAGTGAGCACACTCAAGTTTGCCTTGTCCAGACAGTCAGTTGGAATGGTGGTCTCTTTCTTTGAGACCCTTCTATCTATCTATCTATCTATCTATCTATCTATCTATCTATCTATCTATCTATCTATTTCAATTTGAGACACAGTTTCTCTGTGTAGCCCTGGCTGTCTTAGCTCTCTCTATAGACCAGGCTAGCCTTGATTTCAAAGTGCCACCTGCCTCTGCCTCCCAAATGCTGGGAATGAAGGCGTGCACCACCACCATCCATTTTACCCCATACTTATCTCTGATGACAGTACAGACCTTGGGACCTCAGGAGTCTTCTTGTTTGAGTAATAAATCATTGTACCCAGGGCTTTGTGCATGCTAGGTGCTCCATCTACCAAGCTATAGTCTCAGCCCACAAGTTCTATTTCTATCAGAAACTGCCTGGAAGCTAAAGCAATAGTAGGCATTCCTTGGACTCATTTCTGCTTGCTCTGGGAAGCCCGGTGATCTGGGAAGTGATTCATTCAGCACTGAGTGACGTCTGGGCTCATTCCTGGCTGTGTTGAGGGTTGGGCAATCTCACTGGGGAAAAACAAACAGCCCAGATCTGGCTTTGTTCTTAATGCTATTCCTCAATGCTGATGACTCCCCTGCTGGTCCAGCCTCAGGGGAAACAGTGGGAAGCTGATTGACAGCCATTAAGAAAATGGAACTGAGTGCCACACAGCAGACGTCAAGGAGGAATCCAAAGCCCAGCATCAGCCCCCAGGAGATTTCCAGCTAGAGAAAGTCTTGCCTAGTGGACATACACTGGCTGCCAGGCTAGGATGTCTTCATCCTCTTCAGTGCTCCAGGATGCAGATGGTAAGTGGGCATTACTGTGGACTGCTTATCGTTAAGATCCACGTTCTCCAGTTTCTTCATATGTAAGGCCAGGGTAACAACTGCTCCCGCCCCCACCAGGCTGTCGTGAAGGGGAGATAGGCGCGTACAAAATACTTAGAACAGTGCCCAGTCTGCGATGTTGGATGGAGTTCCATGGTTATTACCAACAGCTATTTATATGTCATGCAGAAACATTTGTATAAAAACAGCCTTTTGGCTGGGCAGTGGTGGCTCATGCCTTTAATCCCAGCATTTGGGAGGCAGGCAGTAGAAGGTGAGTTCAAGGCCAACCTGACCGTCTATAGAGTGAGTTCTAAGACAGCCAGGGCTACAAAGAGAAATCCTTTCTCAAAAAGCAAAACAAACAAATACATTAAAACAGTCTTTCCCTACAGCCAAGAAATCTTAAACCGAGAGATGCACTTCACAACACCTCTAAAATTCTAAGGGCCATTTGTGAGTTTTAGTTATGAGTACATTCTAAATCACTTTCCAGATGAAATCCAATCTAAGAATCCATTCCTACTACCTACAGTGGTAATTTGTTACTTTGGCTATCAAGCATCCACTTCTATTCCTAATAACCCATCTCCATCTTTGTCTTATTGGTCTTATTCTCAGAGCACTGTCCCCTGTGGTCTGCCCGGCCCCAGCAGTGGTCCCCCCTCCCCCCAATCCTTACCTTGGTGTGTAACCTCTGTGGTTAAAGAAACCCAAACTCCACGAATAGAATCTTCACCTCTCTTTTCTCCCCTGCACCCCACTCCTGTCTTTTCCTCCAAATGCTATTAATACAGCGAGCAGACTCCACAACTGAGAGAATCTCACTTCTCCGAAAATAAAAAGCAAACTAGGCATGGTGATGGATGCCTTTAATCCAGGCCCTTGGGAGGGAGGAAGAGGCAGGAGGATCTCTGTGAGAACAGGTACTCTACACAATGGGACCCCGACGCTGGGGGGGGGACAGGAAGGAAGGAAGGAAGGAAGGAAGGAAGGAAGGAAGGAAGGAAGGAAGAAAGGAAAGAAGGAAGGAAGGAAAAAGGCAATCATGGTCCATAAACAGAATGAAATCGGGATTCCTTCAGCTGCAGCTGGTAGCGTGATCAGAGACCATCTCCTACAGTGGGATTCTGCAGTGAGAGTTCAGACTCTGCTGAATTCCGCTGAAGGACGTGCAGAGTTCCCCAATTTCCTTGACCTTCAGTTTCTTCATATATACACATACAAATGCATACATGTGTATATGCACATATATATAATTTTTCTAAATCAGAACCTCACTCCATAGACCAGGCTAACCTCAGAACTCACAATGCTCCTGCCTCCTAACTCAGCCTCCTAAGGAGCAAGACTTACAGATATGCATATATATATTACACTCATACATGTGTATGTCGCCTGGGTGTCTCTCTGTGTGTGTCTCTGTGTGTGTGTGTTTGTCTCTGCATCTGTGTCAGTGTGTATGTGTGAGTGTGTATATGTGTACTAAAAGACACTTAAGGAATCAGTTTACAGGATGATGGGGTTGGTAAATCTGAAAACTTTTATTTAACACACCCACAAAATATTTGGACAATCACTCCTGAATTAGTGTGTGGTTATGTAACTGGATACAAATACAATTCAGCCATTGGAGAGAGCATAGAATGACTTTACATCCTCGGGGTTAAATGATTTCAACATGTCCAACCTGTGTAGGCTGAGTAGATAGCTGGTGGACTCTATCAGAGAGGCAGGGAAGGACACTGGCGCAAAGCCCAGGCTCTATTCTCGACACTCTGTAAAAGCTAAATGGTGTCATTTAGTCCTAAGAATGAGGTAATATGATTTACATGATGAACTAGAGAGATTACATAATTGCGCACTATTATGGTTTGCATATGAAATGCCCACACCTCACCCCACACCCAACCCCCTCAGGCTCCTGTGCTGAACCCCTGGTCTCCAGCTGGCAGTACTATTTTGAGGGTTATGAGGCAAGGCCACACTGGAGGAACTAGGTCCCAGTGCGTGGGCCTTTGAATGCTACTTGGATTCCTGGGTCTCTCTCTTCCTCATTCTTTGCTTCCAGCCTGCTCACAACAGCCTAGTCACCCACTCGCTCACACTCTGGACTGAAAACACTGGGGAAATAAATCCTTCCTCCATATAGCTGTTTTGTCCCAGCGATGAGAAAAGTAACTAATATGACCAAGGTCACACAGCAAGCACGGAGTGAGCTAGGATCCGCTAGCTGTCCCCTTCTTAACCAGATGGCACCTGAAAGGTCTCCACAGGACACCTTCCAGTACCCTTGACAGCTAGCGCCTTAGATACAAGGTGCCCGGCTTTGTCACTTTAAGGAAAATTCCACCCGATCGCACAAACACCGCCAGATTTAGCTACCAGCATATTTCAGAAAAAATATTTTAGGGTAGAATATCACACCCCCTCCACACTCTGCCCTCCTCTGCCACTGTCTCCCCGGGGTGACAAGAAGCCAACACCTTTCCATCTAAGAAAACTTGGCAGAGGTTCCCTCCCCATATCAGAAAGGCTCTGTTCTGCCCACTGCCACCAGTGAACTTTCCAAAAAAAGGAATGAAGTCGCACGTCATCGGTTGTGGCTTTCCTGCAGTGGGTGATTGTGTAATGTCATAATCCAAAAGGTGGAACCCACTTTCTATTTAAATAAAGACCCGGTAGAAAAAAGGTTAGGGGCTGGAGAGGTGGCTCAGCAGTTAAGAGCGCTGACTTCTCTTACAGAGGACCCAGGTTCAATTCCCTGCACCCATGTGGCAGCTCACAACTACCTGTAACTCCAGTTCCAGGGGACTCAACATCCTCACACAGACATGCATCAGGCAAAATAGCAATGCACATAAAAATAAATATTTTTTTTTAAAAAAAAAAGAATAAAAATTAGAGGGCTGGGTTATGGCTCCATTGGCCCAGTGTTTGACTCACACACACAATGGCCTGAGTCTGATTACCAGCACTACATAGCCAGGCTGTGGTTGTGCAAACCTGTAATGCCCAGCATTTGGGAGTTAGAGGCAAGACAGGAGGACCAGAAATTCAAGGTCACGCTCAGCTACGTAGACTGTTCAAGGGGGCGGACACGGGGTTGAGGAAGAGTTAGACGTAAAAGGAGGCTCCGAGGCCCTGGGCACTTCTCCTGTCTGGAGGTTCCTCCTCCCTTCTGTGCACTTCTCTCTAGGCCCCATTATTACAGAGAAGAGCAAGCATCCAACACGCTTTGGTCACAAGAGGCCATACTTTGGTCAGGCTAGGCTATAAGGAGGCTTCCTGGTATCCACACTCTGGTGTGGGTGGGTTGGGGGTAAGGACCAGGCATGTATAAGAGATGGGCGGGGGTGGAGGGGTGGGAGGGGAATTCTGCTTCCATTATGAACTCAGGATGTGCAGGCAGCTTCCAGACCAATTTTGCAGTTTGCTGGAGTTCTCCTTTGTGGTGGGTATTTTTCTTTTTCAGGAATGTGTTGGAAATCAGGAGTGGGAGGTGTAGGTCGGCAACAGAAGAACACTTGTTAGCACACAGGCTAGGGGTCACGTGCTCTGGGTTGGAGCACTGGCAGGAAGAGGAAGAAGGGAGAGGAGACCAGCAGGTGGGGCAGGGGAACTGCAGAAAAACCAAAGGCTAGAGTTTTAGTAGTGATTGCTTTAATTTGGGTAGAAGACAATGCCAATGCAGCAAGTGCTTCTGGGCACTTCTCCCTGGGGCTCAGGAGGAGCCCGCGGGCCACGCAAGGGGAAATTAAGCAGAACTTGGTGAAGCTTCACACTTTCCTATCTTTTCTTTTTTTAAAGTCATTTTTAAAAAAGATTTACCTCATTATATGTGCATGAGCATTTTGCTTGCGTGTGTGTACAAAGGTGTAACGTGTGTGACTGCTGCCTTTGGAGGTCAGAAGAGGACATCGGATCCTCTGGCATTATAGAGAGTTGTGAGTCACCATGCGGGTGCTGGGAACTGAACCCAGGTCCCTTGCAAGAGCAACAAGTGCTCTTAACCCCTGAGGCATCTCTCCAGCCCCTTGCTCCTCCTTGGTATCAGTTTGTTTCCTCTTTTCCTCAGACACTGAACTCTGGAAGCCACAGACCTAATTTAGGATCTCCTGGATGAACAAACGACTCCTCTGTGTGGAGATTCCTAAAGCCAGGGTCTACTCTCAGATCAGGGGGTGGAGGTTCTTATTCAAGGCAGGCCTGAACCCAGCTCCCGAGGGTTCACTTAATAGAACGCTGCTAGAATGCGCGAAGGAACGGCACCTTCTGGTCCCACCCTGGGGCTTGGCTGCCTCTCTTGTCATTATCTGTCAATGTCAGCATCAAATTAGGGAGAGAAACAAAAGAGGACAAGCCAAGGGCAGGCTTTTCCGGGAGTTGTGCCAAGCTGGTGAGATGAGGCAGCCAGTGCCACGTGCTGGCTGGAGGTCAGGGTTGGGACAAGTGATAGAAGAGGGTGTGGGCAGTGGCAGAGATGACACTCTGAGTCCAGGAACAGGGGTCAGTTGAAGGCAGAGGTCAGAGTTGAAGAGGTAAGTTAGAGCCAGCAGAGCGATCTGTGAGCTGTGGAGGCAGGCCAGTCACAGGGAGACACGGAGCCTGTGAACTTCTACCGGGAGCCAGGGGACTAATGTTAGGTGTGGTTACCAAACTTCTCTGATCTCTATCCCTGGCACCTACTTCAGAGCCCTCTGCATCCTCCTCATGCTTGCTGTGGCTGTGTTCTGAATGACCCATTAAGATACTGCCTGCTCTGTCTTCATTACTTCATTACTGTGATAAGACCATTGCCAAAGCAACTTAGAAAGTGTTTACTTCATTTTACGCCTCCTTCTAACTCCTGTGCATAGAACAGTGCTCAGAGCATTGCAGGCCCTTGGTAAATATGTGTGAGATGAGGAAAGGGAAAGGGGAAAGGAGGTGAAAAGAAAGGAAGAAGACAGGGGAAGAGAAGGAAGGAACCTAGCTGC